TCAAAACAACTCTGAGATACCATCTAACTCCTGTCAGAATGGCTAAAATGAAAACACCAATGACAGTTTATGCTGCAGGAGATATGGAGAAAGGGGAACACTCCTCCACAGCTGGTGGGAGTGCCAACTTGTACAGCCACTTTGGAAATCAGGATGGTGGTTCCTCAGGAAAATGGGAATCAGTCTGCCACAAGATCCAGCAATTCCACTCTTAGGCATATAACCAAAATATGCACATTCATAGGACAAGGACATATGTTCAACCATGTTCATAGCAGCATTATTTGTAATAGCCAGAAAGTAGAAGCAACCTAGATGCCCCTCAACTGAGGAATGAGTGGAGAAAATGTGGTACATTTACACAATGGAGTACTACTCAGTGGAAACAAACAAGGAATCTTGAAATTCGCAGGCAAATGGATGGAACTAGAAGAAACCATCCTGAGTGAGGTAACCCAGTCGCAACAAAAACAAAAATGAATATGGATTTTAGATCTAGAGTAAAGTAGCAGCAACCTACAATCCACACCACCAGAGAAGGAAACAAGGAGGAACCTAAGAGAGACACACATGATCCCCAAGAGAAGGGGAAAGGGACAAGATCTTCTAAGCTAATTGGGAGCATGGGGGGAGGGGAGGGGAGAGGGAGTTAGAAGAAAGAGAAGGGGAAAAAGGAGGGGAAGAAGGACATGAAGAAGCAGGAAGATCTAGTCAGGTGAAGAATAGAGGAGAGCAATAAAAGAGATACCATCATAGAGGGAGCCATTATAGGTTTAAAGAGAAATCTGGCACTAGCAAATGTCCAGAGACCTACAAGGTTGACCCCAACTAACAATCTAAGCAATAGTGGAGAGGCTACTTTAAAAGTCCTTCTCTAATAACGAAATTGATGACTACCTTATATGCCATCCTAGTGACGCAGACAGCCACAGCTAAACACTGAGCTGAACTTTGGAATCCAGTTGCAGAGAGGGAGGAGTGATGAGCAAAAGGGTCAAGACCAGGCTGGAGAAACCCACATAAACAGCTGACCTGAACAAGGGGTTGTTCATGGACCCCAGACTGATAACTGGGAAATCAGCATAGGACTGTTCCAGACCCCTGAAGGAGGATGTCAGTTTGGATATCTGGACAATCTATGGGGCCACTGGTAGTGTATCAGTATTTACCCCTAGTACACAAATGAACTTTGGGAGCCCTCTCCACATAGAGGGATACTCTCTCAGCCTAGACACACTGGGGAGGGTCTAGGTCCTGTTCCAAATGATATGACAGATTTTGAAGATTTCCCCCATAGAAGGCCTCACTCTCCCTGGGGAGCAGAAAGGGGTTAAGATGAGGGGCCAGTGGGGGTAAGGGTATGAGGGGAGGGAGAGGGAACTGAGATTGACATGTAAAAGAAGCTTGTTTCTAATTTAAATAAATAAAAAAATTAGTGGGTTCAATTCCTAGAAACAACAAAAAAAGCAGGGGGAAGCTGAGAGATTAAAGAGTGCATATCAATATTCAGCAAGCCATCAGTATTGGCTTCATGAGCATATACACAGCAGTTTTCATCCATACTTCATACTTTTTTAGTATAGCACACAAGAACCTAAAGTTCAAGACAGATGTGGCTGGGACACAGCTGTAATCCCAGATGCCAGGAGGACTGGCACAAGCTCAAGGACAGCCAGACTTATAGTGAGCCCCAGGCCAGCCTAGGCTTCAAAGACAATGCTACAGCTCATGCAGCCTTCTCAAAACGCACTCACTAGACACCAGTGATATCTCACATGTCATCTAAGTCTTCCTTGGAATACACTGAATCTCAGGATCACTCAACTCTGTCTTTATACAGTGGAAATATATGTTTCTCTGTCCTCTGCCCATTTATAAATACCTTTTGCTTTCTAAATTCCATTGGCACTGTGCTTTTAAATAACATAAAAACCTGACCTTCTAAAGCCAGATGTGGTGGTGCACATCTTTAATCCCAATTCTTGGGAAGCATATACAGGAGGATTTTTGTAAATTCAAGGTCAGCCTGATCTACATACATAATGAGTACCAGAATAGTCAAGACTACATAGAGAGAACCCCCCCCCCATCTCAAAAAACAAAACAGAAGGAAGAAAAGGGGGAAAGGAAGGAAGGAAGGTAGGAAGGAAGGAAGGAAGGAAGGAAGGAAGGAAGGAAGGAAGGAAGGAAGGAAAGAAAAACTCTTGTCCTTCTAAATATACAATACTGACAAATCAGACCACTATTTCTTCCTTAGGTAACCAGGTAATCAAGGGATTAAAATCTTCTAGCCAAAAACATAGCTTAATAAGAAACAAGAAAGTCAGGTATGATGACACACATCTGTAATCTTAGCACTGGGAGTCAGAAGAAGGAAGGAAGACAGCTGCAAGTTCAAAGCCATGCTTGTCTACATAGTAAGTAAGTTTCAAGCCCAAAAGGGCTACAGAGTGAAACCCTGTCTCAAAAGAGCAAAGAACTCAAAGTAAAAGGTACAGTGCTCTCTCTCCAGGAGCTTTGGTACTACAGATGTCTGCCTAATGTGTAGTCAAGTAGTGAAGTATATGGCAGAGTAAAAGGATATAAAACATTAACTTGAAAGTTGAATAACAAGAACCAATTTTTTTTATTCAAAGTCTTAAAAAGAAAACAAGGGTCCCACTACCCCCATTTATATCAATGAAATCTTACACTACTGGCCAATACTCTTCTTATAAAAAAAAGAAGAGGAGGAGGAGGAGGAGGAGGAGGAGGAGGAGGAGGAGGAGGAGGAGGAGGAGGAGGAGGAGGAGGAGGAGGAGGAGGAGGAGGAGGAGGAGGAGGAGGAGGAGGAGGAGGAGGAGGAGGAGGAGGAGGAGGAGGAGGAGGAGGAGGAGGAGGAGGAGGAGGAGGAGGAGGAGGAGGAGGAGGAGAAGGAGGAGAAGAAGAAGAAGACGAAGAAGAAGAAGAAGAAGAAGAAGAAGAAGCAGCAGCAGCAGCAGCTGCAGCGCCTATGGGATGAGGAAATAGTCCAGTGGTAGTATGCTTACCTCGAATAAATGAGGCCCTGGATTTAATTATCCAGCAGGCAGAAAGAAGGAATGGAAGAGCAGAGGGAAGGAAAGGAAAAGGGTCAGGAAGGGACAGTGAAGAGATAAGATGAAGAGGACAGGGAACAGAAGAGGAGGGGAGGAAGAGATGAGACGAGACAAAAAGATGAGAAAAAACAATTTGGTGGGGCATGGTAGCACACACCTATAGTGCCTGCATTCAGAAGACTAAAAAGTCTGAAGCCAGCTGGGCTACTCAGAGATGCCTTATTGGCCTCCTCCCAATGTGCCCAAATTACTGCAGATACACAGTTAACAAAGGAATGAAGTGAAAAACATATTTCTTAGAAATAAGTTTAAGGCATCAGTGGAGAGCAACTTCTTCCTACCATAAGAAGGAGATTCCCGTCCATCTTCTTTATCTGAGTCTTTGTCTTTTCTTCTCCGGTGGTGATGCTTATGCCCTCGATGCTTGTGTCGCCGACGACTCTCTTTACTAAATGGTACATGAACACCGACATACACAGCTCGGTGGCCTGTTAAAAGTTTGGAAAGTATATTACTGGTTTTGCCAAAGTATGACATTCAAGAAAGCACATCACACTTTAGAAACAAAGAATTACATGTAAACTCATGACATCAACAATGGTGGTCTTCAGTTATTTAAAGTGCTACATGTTATGGTAGAGCTTTGTACTACTGATAATTAACCTAGCCACTGCTGTAAGTATCAGTTTGTCATCTTAGGTCAATAAAGAAAAGCTAGATTTACCATACAATATAGAGATAAGTTTATTCTACCTTAAAAGGGAGTGGTAACATATATACCTATAATCCCAGAATTCAGGAAGTTAAGGCAGGAAGATTTAGATTTCATGGTAAACCTGGGCTTTAAAGAGATAAGAAGCAAACAAAACAAGCTATATACTTACAAAACATATAAACAAAAATACCTAAGTGTTTATGTATGCACATACACACACACACAAACAGACATATATACACATCTATTCTACGTACATTCAGTTAGTAGACAATCTTAATATATATCGTAAGGGTTATTAAGTAACTCATATATCATAATATACTAACATTTAAATAAATGTTTGTTCACTATTTTTTCATTGTTTCAAAGATTTTTTTTAAAATTAGAATTAGAACAAAATTCAAAAATAAATAATTTTAAAACATCAGTTAGGGTTGGAAAGATGATTCAGTGGTCAAAAGTACTTGTTTCTCTTCCAGAGTTTCCAGGTTTATTCCCAGTACCTACATGGCAGCTCAAAACCATCTGCAACTCCAGTTCTAGGGGATTCAAAACCTCTTCTAACTTCTGTAGGCACCAGTATACACATGATGCATATACATACATAAAGGCAAAACACATAAAGAGCCAAATATATCTTTAAAATATATATACAGAGTAGCAGATAAGATTTTATAACACCATTACTGTGTGCTTTTAGAATAAGAAAATATTATCCTTTGTATTCTAATCCTCCAAAGCAACACAAAAGGTAATTTACACTTTGTCCACTAAAAGAAATGGACTATTTCTTTTATAGTTATACAGAGTTAGCAACACTGTGTCTACTACTAAGGCAACAACTGATTTCTTCAAATAGTTTAAACAGTTCACTATTGAAGTTGTATTGTTTTGTTAAATACAAAGAGATGTGACTACAAATTCAAAAAACAGGCAATTTTGGGGAGGGAGCCTCTTGACAAAGAGTTGCTTTTTGCCTTTACATATAAATAAAGAAATAATATGCTGAAATATTAGGCTAATGGTACTCTATTCACAAAAAAAAAAATTCCTAAGGTAGTCAGGAAATAAATCCTTCAAAAGAAACTCTTTATCATTAGATGAGATTTTTCTGTCCTCATTTTAGCTTTTGAGACAGGGTCTTGCTAGTCTAGCACTAAACCCAGAACCCTCCTGCCTTTGCCTACAAGTGGGGATTACAGTAATGTACCACCATGCCTGGCCTCTTAGATGAAATTTAAAAGTGCACTTGGTCCTTATCAACTACATTTGATGCTAAGCATATCTATTCCCTACTTGCAAATCTGCTGACTCCATAAAATTTTAATTTCCAAGCCAATACTGTTGTTATGTGTCAACTGTCAAAATATTCATGTCAATCAAGTAAATGTACCTGGGCCTGGTGGCACAGCCTATCATCCCAGCACTTGGGAGTCTGAAGCTGGACTGTAAGTTCAAGGCCAGCCTGGTATATTAGCTATTTTTCTCATGTTACCTTTTTGGAGCTGAGATCCAATACATGACCAGCAACTTTAAAAAGGAGAACTGATTTCACCTTAGTCTGAGGGGTATATAAGTCCATCAGATCCAGTAAGGCATGACAGCAGACACATCAGACTCTTACTCAGATCTTGAGAGATCAGGAAGCAAAGACAGGATTCAAAAACTCTGCCAGCATTCTCCTTTTTCCTTGCCACCCTGCTGTTTTTCCTTTTTCCCTTACTTTCAGTCTGGGATTCCAGGCCATGGGACAGTATCACTCACATTAGAGGTAGGTTTTTTCTTCGGCTAAAACGCTCTAGAAATACCTTCACAGACATGCTCAAAGGTGTGGATCCAAGTGATTCTAACTCTAGTAAGTTGACAATGAAGACTAACCATCAGACCTGGGCTATATGGTGAGTTCCTGGGCAAAATGAGCTACACAGCAAGGCCTTGTCTAAAAAAGACAGACACATTAAGTAACTGGGCGATTTTTAAAGTAAAAGTGACCAGACTTATGGAAAAACACCTGTGAAAATATCTCCTGGTCCCTAAGCAATCTACCTAGCATACTAATAACTTGATACATCTCTACAGAAATTAAAACTCAATTATTAGAAAAATGATACTAGAAATTACACAATTAAAACTTAATTATTTATGGTTTCTTCAGGGATGACAGGTATGTTTTGGAACTAAAACTTTGAAAGTTGTATGGCAATAACATGTAAACACTGAACTGAATACATTCAAGTGGTTTACTGTGCTGTGAATTATATCTCACTAAAGTAGTAACTCTAAGTGAACTCAATTGACTTTCAATTGTATTTTAATGAAACTGTAACTTAAAGAGTCAACTCCCATCACTGTATCCTAAGACTACAATCAATCCCATGGGTCCAACTAGCACTAACATACCAAGGTAAAAATAAATTCTATGAGTTCATTGCAGAAAGGCTAGAAAAAGTAACAATATACTAAAACTCGTGGATCTGAAGATGGTCTTACTGTTTCTTCTGCATTTGTCTTTAGTATCTTGTTATACATTACATATGGCATTCTTAATAGACTTTTAAGTCAATTTTAATCAGGCTCATGCAGAGGTAAGTCTAGCACTCAGGAGGCAGAGGCAGAAAATTCAGGATAAAATGCAGAGGACTCCATCTCTTTCTTAACAGCAACAGATTAAGAGTTGATATAGGACTGGTATATTTTAACATAAGTCCCTAAAATATCTATGAAAACATTCCCATGAACACCAGTTTAGCCAAATGCTCCACAGTAACTCACCAATAACACATGGTATCATACCCACAGACATATTGCACAGAGATGGGTACTTACTGCAAACAGAGGACCACTGTACAAAGTGCAAACCTACTCAGTACTCCTGTACTGTCACTGCCATGAAAACTAGGTCAGAGGCTGGGCGATGGTGGCGTACACCTTTAGTCCCAGCACTCTGGAGGCAGAGGCAGGCAGATCTCTGTGAGTTTGAGACCAGCCTGGTCTACAACAGCTAGTTCCAGGACAGCCTCCAAAGCCACAGAGAAACCCTGTCTTGAAAAACAAAATAAATAAATAAATAAAATAATAAAAATAAAAATAAAAAAAGAAAGAAAACTAGGTCAGAATGAGAAACCCATACCCACATAGATTATAGGAGACCAGGGAGACATGACTAAAGGTGCTACAGATTTTACACTGTGTCAACTGGGTCCTTGGAACAGAAAAGGCCATTAGTAGAAAAACCAGTGGATTCCAAATATAAGCTGTAGTTTAGGAAACTATAAGTAAACCATATTCTAGTTATCCTTTGTTAACTTCTGTATTTTCACAAATGGTATGATTTCACAATAAATATTCTTAACATTAGATGAATCTCTGTAAGGTACACACAGAAATGTTCTGTACTATGTACACTGACATTCTATAACTCTAAAAATAAAAGGAAGAAAAAAAAAAAAAACACTAACAGGATTTCTTCCCATCTCATTTGATCCACTATTCTAAGTGGTAGTTACTGTAGCACCATGAAATGAGCAACTGATGACAACTAGTGACACTGTGGGACTTGAAATCTGGTACACTGGCCAATCTATCAAAAGTGTGAGAAAGGAAAACATTTTGTAATCATTAACTATCATTTTCCCAAGTCATAACAAGTATCAATGAAGTAGGAAAGACTTTCTGAAATCTATCTATGCCAACAATTCAACAAAGAATAAATAATCAGGAGACAGTTTGACCATAGATAAGAGTATCTTCTACATTATTATTCATTGTACTACACAAGTATTCAGTAGTCTTATAAACAAACACTAACCAAACAATATTTCCAGAAGCAGTAAGGAAAACTTAAGAAAACACTGACAGACATCAGTTAGTCATTTCTCTGCTAAACATAAGAAATTATTTTAAATGAACTTACTTTCTAGTTCTTCTTTTTCAAACTTGGTGTTCACGGTTGAGCTAGTTTTGCCAAGATCTACAACGGCTTCTTCATCAGGACCCTAGAAACAAGGCATTCTCCTTTACTATCAACCAATGCACATGAAGACCTCTTCTAGATTATTTCAAAGAACCAAAAGCAGATACCTTCTCACAAAGTAAAGGTTTGAGAGCAACTGCATCTTTTCAAAAGTGTTTATAGGAACTTTTTAAATCTACAATTATAATTCTCATGGTAAGAATGAAATCAGCAAAGTGCTGTAAACCATTTTTAAAAAAAAAAATACTAAATTTATCCTCAATAAAATACACCCTGAGCCAGGCGCTGAGCCCACCTTTAATCCCAGCCCTTGGGAGGCAGAAGAAGGTGGATTTCTGTGAGTTTGAGGCCAGCCTGGTCTATAGAGCGAGTGCCAGGATAGGCTCCAAAGCTACACAGAGAAACCCTATCTTGAACAAAACAAACAAAAAATGTATGTCAGAATGGAATGCTTGTTTTGACATTTGCTCCAAAATCATAAAGGAAAACAATTAGTGCCATGCACTACAGATAAACACAAAATTGTCAAGAATAAGTAGTGATGGGGCTGGAGATATGGCTCAGTGGTTAACAGCACTGGCTCCTCTTCCAAAGGTCCTGAGTTCAATTCCCAACAACTACATGGTGGCTCACAACCATTGGTAATGAGATCTAGTGCCCTCCTCTGACGTGCAGGCATACATGCAGGCAGAACACTATATATATAAATAAATAAATAAATCTTTTTTGAAAAGTGATTAGCTCAACATGTAGTACCATTATTACTTGTAAGTAATGTAGTGAAATATAGTCAAAGTTAGAATGTTTAATTCCCCTACAAAGGAAAAGCCAAAGTTGTAACCTCTAGGGAAATCAAGTGCAAGTTTCATACTGTTCCCATCCCCAGCTCTACAAAAATATATTCCATAAGCATTTTTATACAAAATAGCTTGTACCATTTTAAAAGAAGCTTGTAGTTTATGCTTCCTTTCTCAAGTCCTACCAACTTTAAAAGCCATCATCTACACAGTACAAATGTATTTGCATAACTCTATCAACATATGCAAACAGGCAGCATAGCCCCATCTCTCAAAGCCTAGTTATAGGTTTGAGCAGAACCTATACAGCTCTCTGGACCCTGCATAGGCTGTTGTGCTGGGAAAGGTTTGCATAACCTTTATCAGCACTGGCCTACAATGTAAGGCTTTTCCATATACCCATAATAAATTAACAAGTTGTTTATTAGATCTCCCTAAATTCTCATCATGTACACTCAGGAATAATTCAAGGAAGTTAAATAACTTGGTAGGGCTCTACACTTCAACAGGAACTGAGGGAAAAAAAAGACCAGTTTGTCCGTTAGTATAAGTTCTCCAGACTTCCTGAGTAATAGGGCCAAAGTCAGAAACAGAACTAGGTCCTAAAACAGCTCAAGTGAGAAACTACAAATCCCAATAGAACATCTCATCACTAAATGAAACTTCCAGTTGCAGGAAAGGGTAAAATCTAACTGAGTTTTTGGCCAAAGGGGACCCAAGGACATCCTCACACAACCCAGCATATTGCCAAGGTTTTTGGTTGCTCCCCACAAACTGATGGTAAGGCCCCATTGTTGAAGACAGCACTTGCACACCTTATTGAACAGGGAGAAGTTGAGCTGGTGCCTAAGAGTCTTCATCTCTACTATAGGGTTCATGATACTGGAAGGTACTCTGCATGCTACCAGAGGAGAATGGGAAACACCACCCCAGTCATAAACCCTTCCATTGACAACAGTGAACTGCTTACAAGATGCACTGGAGTAATTGTGGCACAAAGCTTGTAGGAGTAATCAAGTAATATCTGATAGGATTTAAGACCCTACATAAGATGGAATCCATGTGTGACACTGCTTGAGTAGACAAGAACCTGAGAGGACAGGGATCTAGGTGAAATCCAAATACCACTGTTCTGCTAAAGGAATAAAATAGCTCCTAATGATATTCTGCTATATTCATAGATCAGTGCCTTGTTCAGCCATCATTGTTCTTGCAGCAGATGGGAACAAATACAGAGACCCACAGCTAGACTGGGTGTAGAGTGAGAGACGTCAGAACACTCAGTCCTAAGAGGGAAGTCTCCATCAAATGCCTCCTTTCAGGGCTCAGGAAACACCGCAAAAGGAGGCAGAAAGTGTATAAGAGCCAAAAGGGATGGAGTACACCAAGGAAACAAAGCCTTCCAAACACAGCAGGGTTGAGCATTATGAGACAAAGATCTTCCAGAAATGCCATTGAGTTTGTTTTGTGTTAGTCATCGACTGCTGGGCATGGGATCTGTCCTTAATAGTGGTTTGTATACTCAGTAAGACTTCACTGGAGAAAATTTATTTTTCCTTTGTGAGAGGTTATCAATTGGAGATACTGGGATAGGTTTAGGGCTTGTGTCAACTTCCCCCTCTCAGTGCTGAGGCTCCATCTGACTTAGACCAACCCTGTGGATGCTGCCAGTCTTTGTGAGTTCATATATGCACAATCCTGCAACTGACAAGCTCTCTCCTAAACCCAAGAGGCCAAGGTTGTGTCCTAAGAGGAAACATGCTGTCCACACTAAAGGGATTAACTGCTCTCATCCAAGCTTTCATTTAGCCTGTACAACTGCCAGGATAAGAAACAATACAACTAACTCTTGGCTTCAAACAAACAACACAGCTCTATTTACACGTTCAGATGTACTAACAAGCTAATCAGCTTCCACTAAAATTGCCCTTAGTCCGGTATCTTCCATTTACTTTATATTTATACAACACCTATTTTATTTCTACACTGAGTTAAAATATACATACTCTACCATTTAAAATATTTGTCAGAGAGAAGTACTTCCACCTTGCAAAACACAGATGCCTCAGATGATGAAGGTGGACACCCCTTACTGATCTACTCAGCCTATTCCTGGGAGACTATATTCTAAAATTCCCTTCCATTCTTAATGTAATAAGTTCTTTGTGTTAGACAAGGTCTCACTAGGTAACCCTGGTTGGCCTGGAACTCTATATAGAGTAGGCTGATCTTGACTTCAAAAAGACCTGACTGCCTCTGCCTCCTGTACCACACCAGGCCTAGAATTTCTACTTATAAAGAAAAAAAGAAAAGAAACAAAAACAGGCCATTTATATTTCTTAAACTAAGAAATACATTAAACAGTTTGGGGAAAACAACTCATAGGCTAGGATTGTAGCTCTTGTAGGGGGATACTTACCTAACATGCACAGGCTCTGGGTTTGACATACACATGGGCGGAGATGGGGTCAGGGGTAAAACCTAAAAACTAGAAGTAGGTTTTAGGGTAGCAAAGATCTCTAATACCAACCAACTCTTGGGAGGCAGAAACAGACTCTTGGAAGGACTTTAGGATACAAACTGAGTTCAAGTCTACCCTGGGCTACAAAACCAACAAACAAACCTGAAAGTAGATCTAAATACATAGTTAGGAAAGATCAAGGATATATTATTTAGTGAAAAAGCAATTTACAGTTATAAATAAAATCACATACACATTAAAATCAATTAAACAAGTTTTTTTGCCAAATGTATGTTTCCATGTGTGTTTATTTCTGTTTAGTAATAAGCAAAAAGAAGAGTTTGATGGAATCTGCACCAAGCATTAACTGCTCAGAAAAAAATGTGTCTGAAGGAAAACTAAGTTCAAATATCATTTAGTTGCTATTACAGTTCTCAAATGTAACTAGCATAACAAAATAAAATTAGTTTTATTATTAAGTTTTTGACAGTTCTGAGGACTGAACCTAGGATCTTATATATGTTAGGCAATTGTTCCAGCCCTAAAATTTAAAGGGGAGGCTGTTGAACTCTGCAACCCAAACTAGCTTTGAACTAATGATAATCCTCAAACTCCCAAGTGCTAGAATTAAAGTTATAAGCCACCAAAACTGGCTTAAAGTTAAAATCTTTTAAATATAAAAATATTACAGACACAGGGCTAGGTATGTGGCTCAGGCATCAGTGTGATTAGCTAGCATGAACACAATACTGGGTTCAGTTCCCAGCACTGAACACACTAGATGTAGTTCCAGTTTGGAAGGTAGAGGTAGGAGAATCAGAAGTTCAAGGGTCATCTAAAGCTGCATAGGGAGTTCAAGGCCTGCCTGGGCTACATGGGACCCTATCTTTAAAACAAACAAAAATTTACAGCACTAACAGACCAAAGGAGGACAGGAAACAAATACATTTCTCTTTCCTCATTTTTTTCATCTGTGAACACGAGTAGTAAAGACAACATCTGCTGTAACTGCCAGTGTTGTATAGGCTGTTTCAACTGGCCATCTGGCTGTATGGGAGAAAATACAGCAAAAGTACACAGGGCACATGTAACCACAGACTGAAAGCCCAGAACAAAGGCATTAGTTATTTGAAAGAAGTAAAAATTTCTCCTAAATGCATGGCTTTTAGATGTGATACACAGGAAATCAATACTCCATGCAAAAGGTATGTTCTTTTTAAAAGCTGAAATGAAAATCCACGTGCATAGTAAATGTTTATAATGTGCAACATGAAATTGCTCACTGAGGACACACTCACTAATGAGCAGAGCCCAGCAGTCCTAGTAACATTTCATCTCTTGTATAACATTTTTAAATATTAACACTTTACTATCAATTATTTTAATTTTCACATAGAAAATACCCTTCCAACATTTTTACCTCTAAGAACATAGTACTAAAGACAACAGTAACTAAGAATAACACTAACATAATATAATTTGCAACATCCACCTAAGTAAATAATGCCATGTCACAAGAAAAACCAAAAACACCAAAGAATAAAAAAGAATTCAAATTATATCTATTCAAGTCAGGCTCAATTTCATCTTAACTTAATTCAGCTCTGGTGTTAAATTTTTTTTAATTCATAAATACCACTGTGGTACAACATAAAATATAATATTAATTATTTATAAGACACACAGCTATCTTATTCCAGAAGGAGATTAAATGATCTGTACATGAAGTAACAGGTATCCAAGGTCATTTATTACAACAGTGCTTGTACTAGGAAAAGGCTGAAAACAACTTAAGATTCCTTGAGGAAAGGAATGTCCCAATAAAGTATGTTACACAATATAGAAATAGGGTATAATAATCTCTTCAGGAGTAGAAGGAATTAAACCTGAATACTGATATAATTTGGGTTCCTTTTTCTTCCCCCATGTTTTTCATGTCTGTTTTGATACAGGACCTCAATCTATACCCCAGGCTGGACTGGAATTCATATGCAGCCCAGGAAATCTTTCTATCTTAGCCTCCTGGGTGCTGGGAAGCAGGTACGACCCACAACACCTGACTTGTTCATCTATGTATCTGACTTTTCTTATACCATGACATTATGCTAGAATAAAATTAAAATTTGAATTTTAACTAAAGACAATCCAAATCTGAACAAAAAGTCTCTAAGAGAAATAAAAGTAAATGTAAGGAAATAGAAATTATGAGGACAGAAAAACTGGAGTAAGAATGAGGCAAACACCGGCAAGAAAAAGCCCTCAGCAAAAATGAGAGTTTAGGCATGGGACACAGGATTACTGTCACAAGCCAGTTCAAAAACTCACTTGGATTCTGTGTGAAATTTTAAACTCTAAAGATTTCACTATTTTTACAAGGAGATATACTCGCTCCAAGATTTAACAAATACAGACTTGCCAAGACACAGGAATACCTTAGGAGTCAAATTAACAGAGACAAAAATTTTTAATTTTTTTTTTAAACTACTGACATTAGCCTAGAATAATGGCTCATGTCTAATTCTAGCATGAGCAGCCAAGACCAACCATTATCACAAGTTCCACCCTGGGCTATATAGTATATTCCAGGACAGTCTGGGATACAAAAAGAAATACAGTAGTACATTCCTATAATTCCATCAGACAGAAGGGAGAGAACTGTCACAAAATTTGAGGCCAGCCTGGTCTTCTAGTCAGCCAGGTATATATAGTGAGATCTTGTATCACACAACACACTCACAACACACACACACACACACACACACACACACACACACACACACACACACACCAAAACAAAACACAAAAAACAAAACACAAAACCTTGTATAACTACTCTTCATTATTGAAAACCAGAGTGGGATGTGAGAAGGTCTACAAAGATTGAATGAATGGTTTTCAAGGTGCCACAAACCAGATGTGATGGCCCTAAACTGCAATCCCTAAAACTGGGAGACTGAGATAACTGGACTGCTAGAGTTCCAACCCAGATTTGGCTATAGTATGAGGTCATGTCTCAAAAACATGGAGGGGAGGGGGTGGGAGGGAGGGAGAATAAACCTCATTTCCTTACTCAGGAATGATTTAAGTATTACACCAAAAACAGGGGCAAGTGTCAGTGAGTGAAAACTGGCAACTTAATTCTCCAATTTATTAGTTTAGTTAACATGACTCTCCAGGAAAGAAAATCTGGATGCAAAGGAATTATCTTTTGAAACCCTGACGAATGAGACCATACAGGGATCTACATGGAATATGCTTTTTCCAATTTAATTTTCTTTTTTTGTTGTTGTTTTTAATGAGAACTTCATGTGTATTATAAACAATCATCAAATCTGATTTTAAAATGGTAAAAGAAGTGTGTTCATATATGTTTGGCACAAAGCTATATATGAGTAAAGGATATATATATTATTATTGACTAATAATCACATAATAAGAAGATGAGTCATCTTCACTGTTTTTGAAAGAAACCTCTGAACATAAATAAATGCATTTATGGTAGATCTTGAAACCTAATCTGATATAAGGTATCTTTTGCAGACTCCAATTCAATTTTCGTTCTTTCTTTTAATATAAAAGATGAAAGAAATTCACAAAGTTTAAGTGGTTTGTTCAATCATACTGCAGTAACAGAACTACAATAAAAAGCCAAGACTCCTGAATGCCATTTATGTGAAATCTTGATTCACTAAACTACAGATCAAGGTCACTTGCCATACATACAGCATTTCCTACTTAATAACAAATCCATAGAATCACTTAATTATCTTTCAGGCTGAAGAATAAATTACCAAAGGCAGTAACCATATTAGGTTTGTTCTTCACAATATCAGGCAGGAAAGTTCTTTCTTTAATGTGCCAAATGTTCAATTTGTCTCAAGGTATAAGTCACAATTAAAAATGTAAAAAAATTTTAAAAACTTAAAAGATTCCTTCGAGTGGGGGGGGGGGACTGGAGATACAGCTCAGGGCTGTTCTTCCAGAGGTCCTGGGTTCAATTTCCAGAGCCCATTTGACAGTTCACAACTATGTATAACTTAAGTTCCAGGGAATCCAACAGTTTTACACAGATATACATGCAGGCAAAATACCAAAGCACATAAATTTTTTTTAATCCCTTCTGGGGAATAGAGAGGAAGTTTAGCAGTTAAGGGCACTTACTGCTCTCCCAGAGGACCATATGGGGGCTAACAACCACTTCGAAACTGTAGCTCCACAGAAACTGATACAGGTACCTGCACTCACATGTACACAACCATATGTAGACACACACACACACCTACAAAAAATAATAATAAATCTTTTAGAAGATCCCTTCTAGCCGGGCATTGGTGGCACATGCCTTTAATCCCAGCACTTGGGAGGCAGAGGCAGGTGGATGGATCTCTGTGAGTTCGAGTCCAGCCTGGTCTCCACAGTGAGTGCCAGGATAGGCTCCAAAGAGAAACCCTGTCTCAAAAAAACAAAAAGATCCCTTCTAAACATTATACTTAAAAATGTAACAGATCAATTTATATTTTAAGAACCCAGAATCAGTACAAAGTCAAAATGCAATTCACAGATAAGAACCCAAGTGCCCCCCCAAAAAAATAAAATCTTTTTACTAAAATTACATGCTATAACTAAAGTTTCTCTTAGTCATTTCTCTTGCCTGAAAAAGCAACATTTACAACATATACCTTACTTGGTCAAATTGTCAGAATATGGGACTTATATTACAAGGCATAGCATGAAGAATATCATGTTGTCAAAATTACTTAAAATGTACCATAAAGCTAGTATAAGAGCTTTTGACATCAAAGTTTGCAAAATCCAGTATTAAAATAGACATAAGAGCGCACCATTAGAAATGCATTTTCTATCATAACCCAAAAGTAAGACCTCTCATAGTTTCTGATTATTGAACATGTAATTTTAGTTACCAAATATTTTAACTCCCATGATGTGATTTCTTTCCAACTATCTTAGCCACATAACTGTTTTGAATTATTTCTTTTAGTTTTTGAGATTATAGTATAATTACATCATCCCTCTTCCCTTTTCCTCCCTCCAAGCCTCCCATATGCCCTTCCTTGAAAAGAACTTTTGTAGAGTGGGAAGATGCTGCCAATTTTCCTAACTTTACATAGGCATTACTCTTCAGCAAACAAGTTCCACAGCCAAGGACAGAGAAGATGATCATATTCTAAGCCAGTGTTGATTGAGCCCCACATTTCTCCAGGATACATTATTAAGCTTAGAAAGATTAAAGTTTACCTGTAAATAAAACACAAATCTAACTAATACCTAACATGTAATACCTACATGTAACTTCCTCGCCAGCCGAAATCTTTCCATAGTAATACTGACAGGATACACCTTGTTTTTGACAGTGCAGTAAATCCCCAGAAGAGTCCAGGGACAGTGAGGGCACATCTGATTTAGGTCACTGTGCTTTATACAGATGAACTCCTCTAAGTTGCTTTTATGGCACAGCCAATCACTGTCTTGTATGTTACCTAATCTTCCAAGCTGATAACTACAACTTAGAAAGGGTCAGGTCACTAACCAAATCTGGAGTGTAACAAACACATTTAGAAATACTGAAAGAAACCAGGTATTTCTGCAATCTCTGCACTTGGGAGATGATGGCAAGAAGATCAAGAATTCAAGGCCAGCATCTACTACAGAGTGAGTTTACGGCTAGCTAGGGAGGGTACCATGAAACTTTATCTTTAAAACAAAGTGTAGGGAAGAGAAAGGGAAGGAAGCAAGAAAAGGAAAGATGAACTAAAAGAATACAGCAACCAATTTAAAAGAAGTCTCTCAACAACATTAGAACAAAGAGAGCATATCCTAAGTATCCTGTGTGTGGATATTTAAGTGTATGTGTGTACCTTACTGTACTTGTGTATGTATTCTTGTCTTTTTTGTTCTGGTGTACATGTCTATAAGCTGTGACCAGGAAGCTCGTCACTTAATTTCAGCAAAACCTAAATGCTTTTATTCAGAGAGAACTTGTTTTTGAGGACCACTAAATTTATACCAAATTACCTCCAACTATATTACTAATAGAATTGACAGTCATATTATAATCTCTAACAACTTGAAGAAAGACAAAAGCCAGCAGCACAGGCCCAGTATCTGGACCTTCCATAATACTCTTGTTACTGGAGACTTCAACAGGCTTTTGTTACTAAGAGTTACATGTTCTTTTACCACAGTACAATTAAAACTCAAAAAGTAAAGTGTTTATTTAGAAAACAATAAATGCATGGCAACTTATGTGACACATTAATGAAAATAAGTATATCAAAGCAATCCAAATTTCAGTGAGGATAAGTGTGTTTTTGATTGAAACTAGTTCTCCCTATGTAGTCCAGGCTGGCCTCAAACTTGTAATCCTCCTGCCTCAGTCTCCCAAATGCTGGGAATGATAATAGTACGCCATAATACAGAACAAATATTGTTCAATTAACAGTGGAAACTCCTCTTTATTACTAATTCAACTCAAGTCATTTCTGAAAAGTTAGTTGCATTGCAAAATCTGAAACAATTTCATGTGAATGTTCTACATACAGTTATCAAAACCCACTTGTGTATGTACATATTCTTGTCTTGTTTTTCTGTTTTGGTATATGTGTCTATAAGCGGTGGGGAAACAAATTCCCTCATTAAAAGGGGTTTGCCATTTTGTATAGAGTGGATGGACAGTGACCTGCCAAAGATCTGGCCATCTCTGGACACCAGCACAAGAGTCACAGGTAAACACCAGCTTTGTTTTTATGTGGGTGCAGGGGACCCAAACTCAGGTCTTCATGTTTGCACATCATTCATGTTACCCATTGAACAATCTCCCCAACCAATTTTCAGTTTTTGAAACAAGGTATTCTATAGACTAGAATGTTAGAAGCACAGAAATCTTCCTTACTCAACTTCCCAAGTGCCTCCTCTCTGGTTTTGTAATTTGAATAGGTATCACATTGAATATTAGTGTCTTTCTAAATGCCAGGTTTCATGTCATAGTAAGAAAAATAAAAACCCAGGTTTGTCAATAAAGCCATCACCATGTGTGGTTAACACCAAGTACTGAGAGATATTAAGTGTCAGGCTGGTAGAACCAAATTTAAAATCCCTTTTGCCTGAAAGCCCAGATTATTACTGCTGGTTAAAAACAATACAAAACAAACAAACAAAAAAATACCATCAATTGTCTTACTGGAAGTAAAAGGTTCTTTTAATTTATATTTGAGGAAACATCTACCATATGCCACATTGTCAGCTGTACGAGTGAAAACAATAAAAGAAGTGATCAGCATATATAAAGGCCCCATGTTCAGTTCTCAGACCCAAGTAAACAAATTCACTCACTGAATCCATATATCCATTTAAGAAACCATGTCCTACCTCCAGAAACTACTCATTCTTTGATGGACTACTCAAACATTCTCATTTCACAAGAGTTCTTTAGGTACTCAGTAACTATTCAAATCAAGGACTAGCCAATGTCGAAGCCACAGTGTTCCAACACATCACCTACAATCCTCAAAGTAACTATCTGTCCTACATAATGCTATTTCCTCATAAATCTCTTGGGAGAATTCTCAGAAAATAAATTATTCAACCACAAAAATGTTCAATTATTTTTCAATACTTCAAATCTACTAGTAATTAGGGGCTGGAGAGATGGCTCAGAGGTTAAAAGCACTGACTGCTCTTCCAGAGGTCCTGAGTTCAATTCCCAGCAACCACATGGTGGCTCACAACCATCCGTTATAAGATCTGGTGCCCTCTTCTGGTGTGCAGATATACATGGAAGCAGAATGTTGTATACATAATAAATAAAATCTTTAAAAGAATCTACTAGTAATTAGTAACAGCTAATAATATTAAAAGTATTACCATAAAAAGCAAAAATGATAACACAGTAGTAGGTCAACATAAATATAATAAGCATGGATTTTGGTCTTAATTTGATTTCTACATATAAATCAGAAAGGAAATGGTTAGAGAAAAAAAAAAATCCATGTAAACCAAATGAAGACTTGCTTCATTTACAACACACTTCAATAAGCACAAGGCCAGACCACATTCTCCACACTGCTTCCTTTACATGGCTTAATTTAGGTAACCATTTCAGTTTCACTACCACCAAAATTCAGACCTCACCATAAGACAATCTCCTAATGGTTTTGATTAGAAATAGGAAATTATCTTCCTATGCTGTATATAGGTTAAAGACAAATCCCCAAGGCCATTTTTAAAGTTGTATCAAATGTCCATAGCATTTCAAGAATTTTGTTTATAACTATATTTTGACATATGTACAAGTGAGTATACCACCATACACCATATCTGGCTATTTTTTTCTTAAAAGTAAGGTTGGGGTGCTGACTAACATTCCGAAGGCCCTGGGTTCAAACCTCGGCACTGCAAATACAAAAATAATATTATTACATACTTAAATGTCAAAGACAAAAATAATACAAATTCAATTTGCATTTGCTTTGAGAAATGTCAATTTAATTACAGTGTTTATAGTATTTGTCTAATAGTTGTTTCCTCAGAATTGAAAGAAATTTACAGGCTCAGGAAGTAAACCAAACCTATAGGTCTCATCAAGCAGTTCAAAGTAATAAGAATCACCAGGCCCATCATCAAGGTTAATCCAGATTGCTAGGTTGGCTAAGCTGCCTACAAATTGAAGAGGGAGCTCCTGGGGTATAAATTTTGTCCTTTCTCAGTGATTCAGCTGCTGTGAGTGATACATCACCTATAGCTCTGAAAGTAACCCCAATACATTCACTGGTTCACTAACCTAGACTTGGTAGAATAATGTCTTTGGTCTGTCATCCATGTCCTACCTGAAGTAGACATTTGTTCACATCACCCCAAGAAAAGTCACACAGCAATATTTAATCATAAAGATGCAGTTATCATATTGGGCTACACTTAGGTAGAAAATTTTACATAAGAAATTAAAAGGTAACCTGGTAAAGACAAACTCAAACTCATTTAAATATAATTTTAATAACTTAAACTAGGGGATACAAATGGTTCAGGAGTTAAGAGCACTTTGGTCCACTTCCAGAGAACCAAAGTTCAAATCCCAGCACTCATGTTGGGTGGTTTATAGCCTGTAACTATAACTCCAAGAGATGATGCCTTCTTCTGATCTCTTCAGACACACATCCCCCAACACACATGCATACATACATATACACATACACACACACACACATACAAGTTTAAAATGTCAAACTAGACCTGCACAACAGCAAGTTAATTAGTATTCCAGCATGGATGAAGAGGGTTCATGAGATTCAACCCCTAGCTGAGGAACAGGAGAGGGAGAGTCATTTTTCTT